AATGAAATGTGTGTTCCTCTAAAGTAAAATTCAAATTTTATCCTTCTATTGATAATAACATTTGACATTTTTTTCTTTGAGTTTTTTTTTCCCCACCAACAAAAAAAAAATAAAACAACCCCAGATCCTTCACATATTCTAAAAAGAGAAGTGTTAAACATATACCACACAGCTTTCATGTTACTGGATGTTCTCACTGATGCACAGCCTTCATGCTAGAAGAACCTCCATTTGTTTGTGGGCAGAATTCAGGCTGTTCCGGTTTGATGTTGTTTGTATAGAGCTACAGGTTTCTTTTTAAATCAAATAACCAGTCTGTAACAAATGCACAACGCTGTCCTTTTTAAAAAAATAATCCGGAAATACTTTATCAAGCTTCTATAAACTGATAGGCATTTCCCCCCTGTTTTGGCTTACCATGTATTGAAAACTGACTAGAATTGAATAAAAACTGTGCAGAGTAATAAATGAAAAGCAAAACTGGTCTCTCTAGGTTTATCATTGGCCTTGACTCTCTTGAAGCTCCACCCCTCCCCTTAGCCTTTAACAGTTGATTTGGCTGCAGCACCAAATCTGACAAATCATGAGGCTGAACGTGAGACTAGGTTTCAGCCAGGGAGTGAAACCAGCCTGTGGCCTGTGCTGCAACTCAACTTGGTTGGTCATTCCATTTGGGGGTAAAAGCACATACTGTATTGTATTTTGAGTCTGTGATTTTAGGAAGGACACATTGCTCAAAAATGTAATAGGTCGCCCTGGCCAGTGTGGCTCAGTTGGCTGTTGTCCCATGCACCAAGAGGTCACGGGTTCGATTCCAGGTTGCAGGCTTGATCCCCAGAAGGGGGCGTGCAGTAGGCAGTCAATTGTTTCTCTGTCATGTCGATATTTCTCTCTCCCTCTCTCTAAAAATCAATGAAAAAACGTATCTTTTTAAAAAATGTAAAAGGTCTCTTCTATTACAACCTGCACAAACCTGGCATTTGCCAAAAACATGGCATTTCTATTGATGGCTTATCTGAGTTATAGAGCTTCATTAGTATATCAAACCAAAGTATCATATTATTTAGAATGCATCTAAAATAGCCACCCAAGGGGTGCGTGAATGGCGGCGTTGGCGTCGGAAGTCATTGGTGGGCTAGGTCCCTGCCGACACCATGCTCCCATTGTCACTGCTGAAGACGGCTCAGAATCACCTCATATTAGTGGAGCTTAAAAATGGGGAGATGTACCATGGGCACCTGGTAAGCTGCGACAACTGGATGAATATCAACCCGCGCGAGGTGATCTGCACATCCGGGAACAGGGACAAGTTCTGGCGGATGCCCGAGTGCTACATCCAAGGCAGAACCATCAAGTACCTGCTCTAGTCCACAAGTCTGTTCAGAACAAAGGAGGCTGGTGTTAGGGGGGACCCCTACCTGTGCATTTTGTGATTCTTCTCTTTATGGTAAGTCCCTTTCTTTTTAAATTGATTTTTGAGAGAAACATTGATGTGAGAGAAACATCAATATTGATCGCCTGACTCCCACATGCTCCCCAACTGGGGATGGGACCCGCAACCTGGGTATGTGCTGTGACCTTTTGGTGTACGGGATGGTGCTCCAACCAACTGAGCCATCCAGCCAGGGCATTAAGTCTTTTTTTTTAAGCCAGCATTTTTACAGTTGGAAATGTTATTTGGTGTTTTGGATTTTGTGAAGTTGCAGCCAACTTGATTCCTGGAAGGCTGTGTTAATGCATCTTTAGAGCCTTACCCTTGTGTTAACTAGGGCATTGTCCAAAATGGTTTGTTTTGTAGCTCATGCCAGATCTCTGTATGGCGAACAGCTGAGAAGGTTTTCATTTTAAGCTTTTTGCCCTAAGATTGATAGTCCAGGAATTTTCCCGAAACAGACCTGAAATTGTCTTTTTATTTTTTATTTCATTTTATTTTTCTTTTTTTTTTTTTTTATCCTCATTCGAGGACATTTTTCCATTTTTTGTTCAGGTAGAGTGGGAGGGAGAGAGAGGAAGAGAGAGAGAGGGAAACATCGATGTGAAAGGGACACATCGAGTGGCTGCCACCCGCACGACCAACCAGGGCCGGGGACAAACTGCAACCGAGGTACATGCCCTTAGCGGGAACCGAACCCGGGTCTCTCCGGACCGCAGGCGGACGCTCTAACCGCTGAGCCAAACCGGCCAGGGCTCATTTTATTTTTCATGTGCACAACCAATGGACACAGATATTAGGTTGGGCAAAGCAGGAGGGGAGTGGGAGTGGGAAGGAAGGGGTCAGTGGGGGACATCTATAATACTTTCAACAATAAAAAAAAAATGAAATTGTCTTTTTAAAAATAAAAAATAAAACTAAAATAGCCACCCAGCCCAGCCGGTGTGGATCAGTGGTTGAGTGTCGACTCATGCACCAAGAGGTCGCCGGCTGATTCCCGGTCAGGGCACATGCCCAGCTTGTGGGCCAAATCCCCAGTGGGGGGCATGCAGGAGGCAGCCAATCAATGAATGTTCTCTATCATCGAAGTTTCTCTCCCCCTCTCCCTCCCTCTCTAAAAAAAAAAAAGTCAATAAAAAAATAAAAACAAGAAAGCCACCTAGACTATACCCATTACCATTCATACTTTTCAGACTACTAAAAATATGGGTACAAATTTTTATCAGTCAAGTTTACATAAAAAAGAATCTAAATATGTAAGCTGGGTTTATTACAAGATTTGCAGGGCAAATATTTTAAGTTGCTTCACTAAAAACAAAAGGAAAAGAGCATGAATTCAGTCGCTCTGTTAGATGGTGCCAACTTTCAAGAAAATCTATAGCTGGCAAGAAAGACTGAGTAGAACCGCACTGTGCTCTGTGGTGCTGGGAGACACAGATGAACTTCCTCTCAGTCACCTGTTCATCAGGAACTGGTTGTTTGCAAAATGTAAAATTATACCAGGGTGGTAAGGAACTGAGGGTAAGTTTGCATAAATCTGTAAGAAGTAACACTTTGGGCAGGAAGTGTCCTCTTGAGGGAACACCTCTTGTCATGTCATCCTTATTAAGTAAGCTATTTATAAATTCTGCAGTTGGGGGTAAATATAGGGTCTAGACTTAAAAGTGAGTTACAGGCATCTTGCTTTTAATTTCCTTTCATACGAAGGTCTCCATCTAGATAGCTCTGGACACTGGAGCTCATTAATGAGCGTGGGCCTCCCTACTGCTATGTACGGACAGCTTCCCATTCTCGCCCTTTCCAGTATCTGCTGACTTCTCTCCTCTGCCCAGACACCCATGCGCCCTGCTGAATTCTGAGCAGTAATCAGAGCTTCATGCTGTCTGGTAAACTTGCACTGACTCTGAAACACACAGCTGCACAGCTCTGCCCCTGCCAGAGGCCAAGTACAACTGAAGGGCCCTGTACGCGGCAGAGCACGCAGCAGCTGTGGGGAAAGGGCTCCCTAGACAGCTGCCTCTAGCTCCTTTCAGCTGCTTCCATCACATCAGCAGTGAGGCAAGAACAGGCGGATGCCGGGCCCTGCGAAAGGTTATTAGAAACGGAAGATCGCCTCTGATACAAAGTCCACATTTCCACGACACAGTGCTTGTCACTGACTCCTGTTCTCCGCCGTCTACATATCAACTGCCTACAAGAAATCCTTCACAGGTGGTCAAGTACTGACATAAGAATACCTGAAATGAATGTTTCTGAAGTCCTTGCTGAATCTCCAGGATTAGCAAACAATTCATGTATATCTCTTAGACCCAAAATATACCATCAAGCAGGCCTCTGACATCTTCCCTAGACCAGATGACACAGGTCTCTGAACTTGGAAACAACTCACTCTGAATTAATGTCAAATTCTCTGTGTAGCCCTGGCCGGTTTGGCTCAGCGGTTAGAGCGTCGGCCTGCGGTCAGAGAGACCTGGGTTCAGTTCCCGATGGAGGCGCGTATCTCGGTTGCAGTTTGTCCCTGGCCCCGGTTGGGGTTGTGTGGGTGGCAACCAGTTGATGTTGTCTTCTCACATCATTGTTTCTCTCTCTTCCTCCTTCTCTCCCTCCCTCTCTATCTGAAGATAAATGCAAAAAATGTCCTCGGGTGAGGATAAAAAAAAAAAATAGAAAATAAAATTCTTTGTGTGCATGAATGATGTGTCTGTAAGATCACAAAGACTGAGGCTGTGTCTTACCCCATTATTACCCCACATTACTTTTAAGTGCCAAGCACACAGTAGGTGCTCAATATCTGTCTAGTTAAAAAATAATAATTAGGCTGTAGCTTAGTATAGCTGCAGGGTGTATCTATGTGTATCTAGGTTATTATTAATGACTACCATTATTCAGTTCTGAAAATGGAACTCATTAATACAGGCTATGTAAATTAGTGCACAAATATATTCCACCCTCAAATTTATATAGGATGTTCAAAAATTAGATACATAATTTTATGGTCCCACTGTGATTATATATGTAACAAAAAGGTTGAAAACAATACAAGTGTGAAGTGGTTGATGAATTATTATTTTAAAATTTATTTTTCACCTAACCTACAGTTTCTACTGCCAAAGTGAAATTATAAGTGACTTTGTATATATTTGGAAAATAAATTATTTGTGGGATGTGCTCTGATAAGAAAAGACGCTTTGGTCATCCAAACTATTCCTAATGTTCCTGAACTTCGTCTTGCTTCGAAAAGCAAGCATATGCATGTTGAATCATATTTCTCATCATTAAATAAGCCTTAAAACCCTGATCTTAGAGACACTTTTTAAAATCACGTACAAGAATATGCTGAGAGAACGCATGCACTATTAAAGCTGGTACTCCCCGGATGCTGGGACTTTCTGTTTTCATTTACTTCCTGACCCCAAAAAAAAGCTTTAAGCTCTAGACCAAAATCATTGGCTTCTATAGCTCTGAAATAATAACAGATCTATTTAGTTGGAACCCTGTGCATTTTTTTAAAAATTCTCACATTCCAAGAAATAGGAAGCAGAAAAAAATCAGCTATTTTGTTCAACTATTTACAGGAGAAATTGTTATAACCTGGTCATTAAAACAACGTATTTCATAGTCCATTCTTAGAATATGACAACAGCTGTTACATAAAATAATGCTTTATAATAAGGCATTTTATACCTGTACAAGGGAGAGGGGAGGGGGGGGGAAAGCCCTTCCTTTTCCTTAAAACAGAACGGTGAGAGCCGGGGCCTGGGTTTTCCACCCGGAGCAGCTCTTCCCCAGCCCCCTCCAGAGCAGGTCAGGAACCGCGACGGCTCCGAAGAGACGAGAATCACAGTCAAACTTCCTTTGAAAGTAGCCGTGATGAGCACAAGTGCTTTTCCCAAAGGCCAGGTCAGGTTACTTCGAGAAGTGGACCATCCAGCAATAGCCAATGAACCTGGTGTCCAATTTCAAGCTATTTTTTCTTTTCTCAAAAATCTTCATAAAAATATACTCACGTGAATTTAGAATTTTTCTCACTATGGTGGTGTGATAAAAATAAATGTATTTGCTTATAAAGAGTAGCTGAACTGTAAAAAACAATCTCACTGTCTTGTTTTTCCTGTGGTCTCTGCCCTCACTTTAATCTAGCAACTGCATCTCAATAAACTCAGTCCACAGATTTTTTAAAAAACGGTTAACTTAATATGTATATTAAATTCCAAAAAGGCAACATCATTAATAAAGTTTCCAAATATTAGGGGAGGAAAAGGGTTCTGATTCTACTTTCTTAATGAAAGGACATTTTCAGAATTAGGGCCGAACCCTGTGCCCTAATTCTGTGTTGATTTTTTTTGGAGGTTTTCCTTGTATAAAAGAGAAGGTCCTAAATAAACCCTTATCTTTAGGTGCAGCTGCACAAACACACACATGTACAGGAAAGTCCACTGGCTCTCCATCCTTCTGCTACCGTAGTGATGTTTTCAAATATTTGGTGAAATCCAGAGGAAGCTGAGTAGCAACTTCATTGCAAAGTCTTTGGGTTAATTGGTTTAAATCTTCATTCAAAAATGCATTCCCTTGTAAAATTTTATCCTGAAAAAAATATTGAAAGTATAGTTAAAAGTTCTTATGCTATCAGCAAAGCCAAGCTGTGAGCGGAGCTGAAAATGGCAACAACCAATACCAAGCCAGCAGCATGGGAAACGCAATGCAGGTGCTGGGCCCAGGAGCGGGCACACCTACAGCGACTGAGTCTCATGGCTGTATCTTTAAAGAATTCCAACCCCAGAGATGCATCCTACCACCAACTCCTAAACATTGAAAAAATAAGAATAATAATCTACGTATAAAACAATTCGGCAAATTGGAATCAGTTAAGAGACATGTTAACTTACTTTTTATTTCACTGTCTAAAAAACAATAGAGAAGTATCAAGTACCTTCCTCCTGGAGCCCAAGGTTTCGACGGGAGGGTTGAATGTCATCGCCGCCATGCTGTGAGCCGCGAAGAGTTCTACAGCAGACCTACAGTCACAAAGGAAACTGAGTCACAAAGAGACACCACCGCACTGTTTAACTTGAGAATAGTGAATTGTACCCAGAGAATGACTCATTATTCCAAACCAAGCAAGATATAATATAATCCTGCTTTTGAACCAACAAATCAACACAAAATGAATCCTAAATTCCCATATACTGACAACAGTATCCCACAAACCCACCTCACAGAGCTCTGGTATACATTTAGAAACAGGCCTGAACCGGAAGAGCTCAAACTCAATGTGATCAAATGCCAACTAGCCCTGGCCGGTTTGGCTCAGCGGTTAGAGCGTCGACCTGCGGTCCTAGAGACCCGGGTTCGGTTCCCGCTAAGGGCATGTACCTCGGTTGCAGTTTGTCCCCGGCCCTGGTCGGTTGTGCGGGTGGCAGCCACTCGATGTGTCCCTTCACGTCGATGTTTCTCTCTCTCTCTCTCTGTTCCTCTCTCTCCCTCCCACTCTACCTGAACAAAAAAAATGGGAAGGTGTCCTCGGGTGAGGATAAAAATAAATAAAAATAAAAAAATCAAATGCCAACTAAACACTATGCAACTAAGTTTAACACAGTATGGGAGCCAGGGGAGTGAAGCACGGAGTCATCCTCCATGGATTTCCAACAGCTCAACCCTTCAGTTGTGGCCTGGATTAAAAGCAAGAACCATTCTATAGACAGAATAAAGGTCTATAATCATGGTATGTAAACGAATCCCTAATGATTGGGGTTGGTTCGCACTCTCCAAAGGAGATCGATCGGCAAGGGCCTGCAAAGGTTGTGATCAGGGTCACGTCCCTGCTCCACTCTCCAGGGGAAGACAGCAGGAGTCTCCTTCCTCAGGCCTTTGGGATAAACCAGTTCCTCATCTTCCTACGGAAAAGGGAGCCTCTGGCATAAACGAGGCAAATATTCAAGACCTCTGATGAAAACATGACAGAAATGGATCATGGGGTAAACAAAAGTGACAAAGAACTGTTTTTTCCTTTTTTCCCTTTTAAAAACAAGGATGGGAGACAGGAAAAATGAGAAAAGAAAAAAATAGCCATTTTATTCTTTTATGGCCAAATGTTCTCTCTCTCCTACCCAGAAGGAAAAAAGTTTAGGCCTCATTTAGAGGGGTAAGCAGCTAACTCCTGCCATGTAAAAAAATACAGATCTATTCTGGCAAATCTCCCTGTATTACAAGAGAAGCTGGATTGTTAGGTGAATTCTTATAATATTAAAAAGATAACTAATTTAATTTCTGTTCAAACTCTGAAAAGGCCAGAAAATCAGCCTGATCGCCTATAGGTCATTTGCCTGTGATCTCTGAAAAAAACAACACCACTGCGTTTGCAAAGGAGAAAACCTACAGCAAAATATTAATTCTGAGCGGTGGGTTTATTACAAGGGTGCCATTTTCTCCTCTTCTGTATTACTGAGGTATTTTCTAACTGAATCTGTGGGGGGAAAGGTAATTACTATTCTTCAACTTTTCTGTACTTCTGTAATTTTTCAGAATTAAAAGGGGGGAAGAGCCTTCTTTAGGAGGCCCCTTCCCCACGGGAAGAATGTGAGGAGAGCGCGGGGCGGGGGAGCAATCCGAGCTCGTTCAGGTCAGGAGGCCAAGGGGAGACGCCGCTGGCCTGCGGACGGCAGTGCTCCAGGGCCCTGCCCGCTCGGTTCTCCCTCTGGCCCCTGCAGGACCATTCAAGGAAAACAGGACTCTCACTGTGGCTGGACTCCGGCATTATCACATGAGCAAATATGGCACTGTCTTATTAATGGTGAGCCTGAGTCATGGGCGTATGGGGTGTCACTATTCTTTATACTTATCTGTACGTGCAAAAATTTTTATGACAAAAAAAAAAAAAAAAAAAGGTTGTGATTACATAAAACAAACTAATAAAATCACAGGCAGCATGTTATCTCTCTAGGACAATTTGGGAATATGAAGTGAGAACAAACCCAGATAACCAGCTAGCGCTTTACATTTTAAAACCTGTTCCACTGCCCAGCCGGTGTGGCTCCGTGGCTGAGCGTCGACCCACCCACCAAGAGGTGGGCCTGATCCCCAGTGGGGGGCATGCAAGAGGCGGCCAATTAATGTTCTCTCTCATCGATGTTTCTGTCTCCTTCTCCCTTTCCCTCTCTCTACAATATCAATAAAGAAAAACATTTTTAAATAAAATCTGTTATGTCATAAAACAGACTTCTCCCAGTAAAGAGCTATCAACTGAAAGGTATAGTTTGTAATGAAGCGAAGCTGGATCCCACCTTCGGCTCAGCTCTGGTTTGAGGGCTTCAGAGCCTTCCACGGGGGCCCCCGCGATGAGGTGAGCTGCCAGTGTCCGCACTATGGGATGGAAATGTCGCTGCACGGGAAACAACAACCATGTTCATACAGGTCAGTATTTTACAAAACACTAGCTACAGCAAAGATTTTAATTAATAAACACTAATTTTTTTAAAAAAAACTATAGATGTCTATGTAATTCATAAGAACCACAGAACTGTAGGAAAAACACTATGTTTGCTCACGAGGTCACAGCACAAATCTTTCTGATGAGCAGGTCACCAGTAGCAGCACAATCCCGTTTTCACAGTATAAAGAGAAAAATCAAAAAGCAACTTCTCTTTCACAGGGAAAAGTTAATTTACAACAGACTTCCTGAACCACATTCTCTCTGAGGCTCAGCCCAACACTGGCCACACCAGGATCACAATGTAGGTGAAACCCTCAAAACTGGCGGGGCTAGGAAGTCTCCTTGGACAGGAGACAATACAATGTGCCTGGGAAGGGAGAGATTTAAATAAATCTTACCCTACAAAACTCATGTTCAGCTTCCTTAGAAAATGTATCTCAACATCCTAAAAAGTAGTAAAAGCGAAGTGAAATGTAGGCTATTAAAACACGAATTCTAGGAAAGAGGGTCCAGGAACAAAACCCATTAAGGACCCTGGCCACAGTGACCACTTGGGGAGCAGCGAGCACAGCTGCTCGGTGAGCGGGGGGAGGGGGCTCTTACCCGCAGCGCGTGCAGCTCCCAGAGTGCACTGTTCTGAGCATTACAGTACTCAGGCTGGTCCAGCTCAGGCAGGAACACCCCACTGCCCTGAGACTCATTGTCAAGCAACAGATCTGTTTTGGGGAAAGTCTGCAAAAAATGGATTAACTAAATTAATACTATTAGTTTAAAGAAGGTAATTGGATTCTGTACTTTTTATTTTTAATGTTTTTTTAATCCTCACCTGAGGATATTTTTCTATTTGTCTTCAGATAGAGTGGGAGAGAGAGAGAAAGAAACACAGATGAGAGAGACACATCGACTGGCTGCCTCCCGCACGACCCCGACCAGGGCAGGGGACAACTGCAACCAAGGTACACGCCCTTGACCCAGCTGAACCCGCAGCTGTTTGGTCCCTGGGCCAATACTCTAACCGCGGAGCCAAACCAGTCAGGGCTTGGGTTCTGTACTTTTATTTATACTTAAAATTTCATTTGATTTTATGGTTACTTAAGAGCTATGAGCATATAAAGTTCACACCTAGTTTTAATTTTCTAAATTTAAGCTTATACCATAAAGAGAACAAAAACTGCAAAAGATTATTTTCTTGGCTTGCTCTGAAAAGAATTTATCTTGCAAGAGAGAATCGTCTTTTCAACCAACAATCCCACTTTTAGAAATCTTTCCTATAGAAATACTTACATTAGATACATATAAGGATATTCACTATAGCATTATTTGTGATAGCAAAAACAACCTATAAGTCCATGAAAAGAAAAAAGAAAAAAAGAAAAAGAAAAATGCAAGCTAAAAAAGTCAGACGGCCTGAATTTGAATCCCACCTCTGCCACTTCTTAGTAGCAGCAACATCGCTTTAGGCAAGTTACTCCTCTCTGGACCTCACTTTTCCTCATCTATAAAATGAGAACAATAATAGCAGCTACTTCACAAAGTAGTTATGAAAATTAAGTGAGTTAAGTTTTGTAAAGCATTTTTACAGTGGCAGGCACGAAGAACTGTATGCGTCAAACAAACACCTTATTTATTCACTAAAGAGATAAAGTAGTTATATTTGTAGTACATGAAAACGTGTTCATTACCAGTAAGTGTTAAAAAAAGAAATGCAGCTCTGACCAGTTTGGCCCAGTGGTTAGAGCGTTGGCCCGTGCACCCAACGGTTGCGGGTTTGATTTCTGGTCAAAAGCACATACCTGGGTTTCAGATTAACAACAACAACAAAATACTATAGAACAATATGTATATCTTAATCCCCAAAACCCCCTTCCATAAAAAAAGAAGAAGAGAAGCTCTGTTGTTCGTGTGTGTTTGCTGTATGTGTTTATATATGAATTTTTAAAAGTCAGCTGGGAGGATACCACCAAAAGGTAAAAATGGTTACCTCTGGAGAGTGTCAGTAAGAGGGGAACGTGCCCTGGCTGGTTAGAGCATCAGCCCACAGACCAGAGAGTCCCGGGTTCGATTCCCACTGGGGGCACTTACCTCAGCTGCAGTTTGTCCCCGGCCCCGGTTCGGGTCGTATGGGTGGCAAGCAGTCGATGTGTCCCTCTCATATCGATGTTTCTTTCTCTCTCTCTCTCCGTCCCTCCCTCCCCCCGGCTCTATCTGAAGATAAATGCAAAAAGTGTCTCAGGTGAGGATTAAAAGAAAAAAAAGGAGGGGAATTCTTCCCTTTTGTAATTTAATGTACTTCCTTTATCATCTGATTTTGTTACCGGTGTGAATTAATAAACAGGACACACATCCAACAAAACACCACTGTTGCACTGCCAGAACTTGGCTCTCTTCATTCATATCACTACTTACCTGCATTAATACTCTGTTAGTTGCTAAAATGCCAATGCTTGAATTGGGAAGAACATGAAGAGCGAGGGTACAAAGGCGCTTGATGAAGGCGAGGGCTCGCTGCTGAGAAACCTGCTTTCTGCGCTTGGTTAGCATGACATCCAGGCACTTGAGCACAGTCTCAACCCCTTCATTGGTAGCTCCTGAAACAGCAGACACACCCTTCATTACTATTCCATGATGCAAGGTCACCTAACTCCAGAAACACCCAGATTAACTGCCACGCCTGTCCCACACCATGGCCCTCCCCCATAAAGTAGGGCTGGCCTGCAGCTCCAGTCAATTCCAAGTCCTCGCCTCCCGTCTTTCTCGGATATAAATACCCAGGCTGCTGGCAGGCCAGCTCTCTGTGCGTCGGTTCCTACTTCTACTGTTCGCTGGCTGTCATTCTGGTCACAACATATTCTTAAAAGAACTATTTATTAAATACACATTATCTAAACATACATACCTGCGTGTAACTTGAACAGTGTTTTGTAAAGATGTGTATAGAATTTCATTGGATCGATATTCAGAACATCACCTTTGAAATGACAGCAAACACCAATTAGGTATGTTCCAGCCTCCACAGGTGAAGCAAACAAAAACTGACTAAGAAGGTATCTTACTTACCTTGCCCGGAAAGAATATGAAAAGCAGTCTGGACACAATGAAGACTTTCTTGATAGCTTAGGTTCTAAAAAAAAAAAAAAAAAAGCGTGTGTATAAAATAATAATACCATTTTTATCTTAAGACGTAATTAATTGAGTTACTTACACCAGACTCAATGAGACCATGTAGAACTACTAGTAAATCATCAAAAAACTCCACATTTATAAGGTGAGCAAACCTAAAATCAAATAAAAACTAGTTAAAAGGTAACCTAAAGACAGAAATACAGCAGCCACAAACTAAACTTGACTTTAAAATTGTATTTTTAATATTCCTTATTCCAAAATGTTAGCGGTGAGAGAGCTGATAGAGAATATTACTGCTACTTCTCATGAAGTCACACATTCCCCGTCTACAGGTACAATCTGTTTGGGATACAGCTTGGCAATATTTATCAAATGTTAAAAAGAGCATACCCTCTGGCCTGGCAATTACATGAACCCAAGTGCATAAAAATACTTTCAGTGCAGCCAAAGGAAAATAAAGCAAAGCCAGTGCAGTGAAGGGGTGGGGGATCTCTAATACTTTCAACAATGAAGATAAACTTAAAAAATAAAGTAAAGGAAGGACAGGCTGGTAACCAGAAAAAATAAAAGAGAGAGAGAGCACTGAGAAAGACACTGGGTCATCACTGGTAAAACCTGTTTAAAAGTCATGGTTCCTTCAGTCTTAATTACTTAGAAGAATCTGAAAGGTTTCAACCTACACAGCCCTTACTTGGCAAGACCTTCTAGAACTGCTGGCAGGAGAGGTGACCTCTGGGCCTTCTTCAATATTCTGAAGTAGGTTACAAATACAATATTCAACGTCTCCGTGTGCTGGCCGAAGAAACAAACAACAGGACTTTAGTATAACCTAGGACACCGTCTCCCGAATGACCACAGCCACCATCAAAGCGCAGGCGATCACGCCCCTTCCCATCGCGCCCAACAACGCAGTCTTAGGAGCTTCCACAAAATGAAGTTCTAACGGAACAAAGGTGCATCCTGTGATTTCATAAACCAGCACTGATCAAATTATAATTTCTTGTATATCTCGTATCTAAGCCTCATGAAATAAGCCAAAATTATGTAACCATAAGTTGAAACAATCAATCTCTAGTTAAAATTATTTAACAAACCACTTAAAAAGCACAGGGCAGCACTTTTCAACTTTTTTCATCTCCCGGCACACATAAACTAATTACTAAAATTCTGCAGCACACCAAAAAATATATTTTTTGCCAATCTGACAAAAAAGAAATACATAAAATTTTTATTTACACCGGACAGCTATTGTTGTGCTGGCTGTTGTCCCTTTTGATTTGACAATCTAAGGAAAACGAGTTCACTGCCCCTGACTAAATAGTCAGCATTGCGTGTTTTAAAAATTCTTGCCAACACAGCGGAAAGCGCTGGCCCGGGGAAGGCGAAACCCACCAGCTGCAGTTTTTTCTCGGCACTCTCCGACGCTTCCGCCTCCCGAAGCTCGCGCTCCAGTTTCTCTTCTGCTTTTCTCCACTGAAAATAGATTGAAAAATAAAGTAAGAGCATATACCATTGAGTGAAAACAGCAAGCTTCAGAGAGCTATAATATGCAAATATTACAAAACATACAGTAGTATCGCAGATTGTCTCTGAACACAAATATAAGCAGAAACATAGATGAGAAGTACACACACACAATGACAGTGGTGGCCTCCTGGGAAGATGGCACAAGACTGACATAGAGAGACCAACGGGGAGGTAACGTGAACACCAACGGTTTCTTTCTTCTCGAGAAAAGAAATTGAAGTAAGTCTACTAACATTTGCTCATTCAGAAAGGCAGATACATGCTACATACTATTCTCTGTAATTTTCCGTAACTTAAATTGAAATTTTCAAAAAAGAAAAAAAGGAAGAACATGCTGAGCCCAGAAATAATTCTTATTGTTAAATCATCTATAACATGAAGCCAGTCATCACCAAAACTTCCCAAACTCATTTATATCCAATGCACACAGCCAGATACTATATAGAAATTTAACAAAATATCTGTTTCCGCTCCCTTCTGCTGTAAGAACAGCACAGTGGTTACTGAGCTGAGACAGGGACTGACTGAGAAAGTCTCCCTCCCTCCTGCGAGGCTGACAAAGGGCTGCCACCCGCCTTTGTTTCCCGCCACAGCTACGCATCCAGCTGCATTAGGTGGCATGGTATAAAGAATGAAAACATTGCCCTGGCCAGTTTGGCTCAGCAGTAGAGCGTCGAGCTGCGGTCCAGAGAGACCCGGGTTCGGTTCCCACTAAGGGCGCGTACCTCGGTTGCAGTTTGTCCCCGGCCCTGGTTGGGTCGTGCGGGTGGCAACCACTCAATGTGTCCCTTTCACGTCGATGTTTCTCTCTCTCTCTCTCCCTCCCACTCTATCTGAACAAAAAATGGAAAAATGTCCTCGGGTGAGGATAACAACAACAACAAAAAGAATGAAAATATTTACCTTCATTGTTTACAGTTATTACATCTAATCTGATATTCCTATCATGTTTTCAAACTTATTAGACACATTCAAAAATGAATACCCTGAAATTATTTTTGTTTTGTTTTATAAGCAATTTGATAACCCTCATAAACGGTAGAAATGTTTGAGCAACGGTAACAGCAGACGGTGGGTGGGCACGGGCGTCTGCAGAGCAGGGCGGCCACGCACTCTGCCGGGTGCCTTCGTACACCATCTTACTGAAACTGCAGGGACTCTGCAAAGCAGGTACTATGAATCAGCTCCGTGTCTCAAAACTTACAAAAAAAAGTGTGACCAGAGTCTAACAGTGAATAAAGAAAAGGTTTCAAATCCAAACCAGTAAAGAAGCATGATTCAATTAACAAAACCCACTTTGTCGCTCGCTGCACATGAACACAGCCTTTCTGTTACGGAAGAGTCTCGTGTCACACGAGTCTAAGATGATCATAAAAGGCAGCAGGACAATAAAATCTTTTCTATCTATTGCTCTTTTTGCCAATGAGCTGTCAGTTTAAATTTATTTAATAAAATATTTCTTTGTAATAACTGGGAAAATTACATTCTCTAAATAAATTTTTAAATACCTTTAGTTATGATTTAACAATGAATTTTACCTGTTTCTATACTAGGATTTTAATCTAAAAATCAACACACAAAAAAGGAATAAATCAAACCTTTCTCTGCATTCTTGATAGATTTTTTCTTTTTTCCTTGAAAGTCATGAACTTTTGGGGTTTATTAATGTCCTCTGTGTCTTTTTTCACTTCTACTTCTTTGATTCTTAAGCACAAGAATGTTTTTAACATCTAATATTGAAGAAAACACAAATATGCAGCTTAATATTTATACTGCCCTCAAAAACATTATACAGAAAAATACATTAACAATATAATTTCCGTCCATCGTGGAAAAAAAAAGGCAAAAACCCCACACCTTTAAAACATCTTTCATCACATTTTACACAAAGACCTATTATCTTTTTGTTAAACATAGTTGGTAATTTGCGTCTATGAAAGGACAACTAGTATTTGGCTAAATACATATAATATTATTTTGCAGCTTAATGACAATAAGGAAGAGAGAACACATTACTTACTTGGCATTGGTAGACAGGATTACAAAGAGTGGACAGGCCAGAAAAAGGTTTGAACCAATACTGAAGGGAATATAAATTAGATATTTCTAAACCAGCTTTAATTTACCAGACCATCTCCAGTTTTACAAAAAATGGAAAATCTTCATCTTCCCCCACCCCAAAAAATAAATTAACATAAAAAATAGCATTATTAATTAAGACAATTTATTTTCCTTCAAGTCAATGTGTCTCCCACTTTAGCAAACAGGAAAACACCTGGAAGGTCTGTTAAAACACTAATAGCTGGGCCCTGTCCCAAAGTTTCTGGTTCCGTAAGTCTGGAGTAGGGCCCCAGAACTTATATTTCTAATTCCCACTGATGCTGGTTCAGGGACCACAATGAGAACTATTGCCTCAGGCCTTCAAAAACACCAGAGGCTAATGTGGAAATTGGTGTTTTGTGTGCTACAGCAACCATCCAAACACGCAGACAAAAGAGATTTAAAATCTGACATTTTCTTGGGAAGAAACCACTCCACTGACTTCCTGCAGTCAGAAGCATTCCTGGAAAAAATACTTGAGAATTACAGCTTTATATTATTCCATTAGGTACGTCTGGAAGAAAACTGAGTATTTCAGATTATAGGGCTTAAAGCACAAATGGAAACAGGGAAGAACTAACAGCATAAATAGTGAACCTGAAGTCATTCTAGGTATCAGAAAGATCAATGACTAGCATGCATTCTATGTGCTCATTAAATACTACTAACAAAAGAAAAATAACTCCAAATTAAACAATGTGGTATACGGTCAACTCATCTTTGGCAAGGGCGCCAAGATACACAATGGAGAACAATACTCTCTCTTCAATAAATGGCATAGGGAAAAATGGATTTCCACACGCAGAATGAAATTGTACCTTTATCTTAAATCACTCACAAAAACTAACTTAAAATGGATTAAAAACTTAAATATAAGGCCTGGAACCATAAAACTCCTAGAAGAAAAATAGGGGAAAAGCTCCCTGATATTGTCTTAGCAAAGTACTTTTGGGATATGACACCAAAAGCATAAGCAACAAAAGCAAAAATAAATAAGTGGGACCACATCAAACCAAAATTTCTGCATAGCAAACTATCAAAAAAATAAAAAGACAAACTACGGAATGGGAAAAAAATACTCGCAAACCATATCTGATAAAGGGTTAATATCCAAAATATATAAGAAGCTCATATAACTCAATAGCAAAAATTAAATAACCCAATTAAAAAATGGTCAAAGGACCCGGCTGGTGTGGCTCAGTGGCTTAAGAGTCATCCAATAGACTGAGAGGTCCTCAGGTGAGGATAAAAAAATAAGTAAATCAATAAAATAAAATAAAAAATTACAGTATAACCTAAACATATATATATCAAAAACACCCAACAAATTAAAGAATGCAGTTTATAATTCTAACATCACTAAAATAAAGTGTTTTCCTCTGACCACGTTTCATGTTCAAGCCTGATTATCTGATCACTGTATGATTCTGAATGAAGACACTATTTTCTCTACTTAAGTGTAATATTTATAATTTTAACAGTTCTAAAATTATCAGCTTTAATTGAAAGGGATCAGGATGGCAAAGCAAAACAGAAATTAGGAGCTAACACAATAGAGACTGTGAGCTGAGCAATCAAAACTATATGATGAAATGGAAGGTTACATTTGGGGAATTGAGTAGGTTCCCTTTCTACTTTGCACTTTTATAAAGAATAAATTCCTCATGAAAAGTGAAACCTTTGTAATTTAATTTTTTTAAAGCATCTCTCTCTCCTTTTTTTTTTTATTGATTTCAGAGAGAGGAAGGGAGAGACAGAAACATGGATAAGAGAGAATACTGACTGGCCGCCTCCTGCATGCCCCCTACTGGGGATCGTGCCCACAATCAGAGCATGTGCCCTGACCGGCGACCTCTTGGTGCATGGGCTGATGCTCAACCACTGAGTCACACCAGCCGGGCCTTAACTCTGTAATTTAAAAACAAATACAGTGTAAAGTAAAAACCGAAAGACTTACCTCTGGCCTAACGTCATAATTTCTGCCCTTCACAAAACCAGAAATCACTTTAATTACGCCAAGGGAAGCTTGGCCTAATTTATCTTGTTTAAAAAGTTTCTTGACAGCCTCACAGCACATTTCAGATATCTGAAAAATAAAATGTTATACTAAACTGGTGTTTCTCAGCCTCTGTACTACCAACACGTGGGGCCCGAGAATTCTTTGCTGTGGGGGGCTGTCCACGTACTGCAGGATGTTTAGAAGCCTGGCCTTCACCTGCTACGTGACAGTTAACATCCCCCCACCACGCAGTCCTGACCATCACAAATGGCTGTCGCCACAGCCTAATGTTCCCCGGAGGTCAAAACTGCCTCCCATTCAAAACCTGTACTGAACTTAGGGTCAAATCGTTTTCTTAAAGAAACACTGTTTAGCAAAGTGACTCCATTTGAGCAATAAATAAGAGCTCCAAAAGAATTTTGAGAGAGAAAAATCACTGTCTATAATTTTCTGTTAAGCACGACAGCAACAATCACTTGGAGCAACCCACCAATTTTGACACGTCATTCATGAGAGGCACGATCAAGACAATGATGTTGTTGTGAAAGTTGAAATGAGGCAGTGCCACCAGCAGCTCGCACAGGCTCTTCACGGCCACTTCCGCCAGCCCTTTGTACGCCTTCAAGGAAACGACATTACTTTTCTTCAGCTTCCTTTGCTTCCAGTCTAATCAAAAGACAACCATAGTTACTTACTTTACTCACTGGTCAAAACTTCAACTGATTACTCTTTACAGTAATATTCAATAATATAAAAACTCAACATACCACACAAATTCCTAAATATAAGTTGTAGCTACACTTAGACAAGTACAAAGGTTATCATTAAAATGTTTCTACACCATCCACCATGACTCTAACCACAATTAACAGAATCTTGGCTTTTCGTGTTTTTTAAAAGCTGTATCATTAAACAAAGAGTCCCCAGGGAGTAAAAAAAGGAAAGGGTGGACAGGGAGCTGGATACCTTTAAGGAATCCTTGCAATGAGCTCTACCAAGGCTCTCCCCCAAACACCTGACTATACGTCAAGAGCCTGGGTTCAAATCCTAGTCACCCACTCACTGGCTGGTGAATATGAACAAGTTCCAAACAGTCCCAGTCTCTTTCATGCTCTAAAAACCCCAAGGATGTAAAACATTGTTTCTCCTGAATTCTTGCTGAAGCTCACTGTGGTATCTACCCAGGAGGTCTAAAAGAGATTCAAATTCTTCTTCAGAATAATTAATGACTCACAGTACCTCTTTCCTAGAAATTTCTACATACATACATTGTTACTATAATATAGAATCTTTTTTTTTTTTAATCCTCACCTGAGGACATTTTTCGATATTTTGTTCAGATAGAGTGAGAGGGGGAGAGAAAGAGAGAAACATCGACATGAAAGCGACACATCGAGTGGTTGCCACCCACACGACCCAACCAGGGCTGGGGACAAACTGCAACCAAGGTTCGTGCCCTTAGCGGGACTCTCCGGACCGCAGGCCGACGCTCTAACCGCTGAGCCAAACCGGCCAGGGCAATACACTAGTCTATCTACAGCAGGTTCAACATCTCCCCTTGTATCAGGGGTGGGGAACCTTTTTTCTGCTAAGGGCCATTTGGATATTTATAACATCATTCGAGGGCCACACAAATTATCAACTTAAAACTTAGCCTGCTAGCCCTGGCCAGTTTGGCTCAGCGGTTGGAATGTCGGCCTGCGGACCAGAGAGTTCGAGGCTCGGTTCCTGCTAAGGGCACATACCTCGGTTGCAGTTTGTCCCTGGCCCTGGTTGGGGCTGTGTGAGTGGCAACCTGTCAATGCATCTCTCTCACATCGATGTTTCTCCCTCTCTCTTCCTCCCTCTCTCCCTCCCTCTCTATCTGAAGATAAATGCAAAAATGTCCTCGGGTGAGGATTAAAAAAAACAACTTAGCCTACTATTTTGGTCAGGCTAATTTAGTGAGGTGTGTGATATTAGCAGGTATTGATTTCGAGGGCCTTATAGAGCCCTCAGGCCAGATGTTCCTCACCCCTGCTCTATATCCTACACAGCCAGAGATGAGAAAGATAATATAAATGACAGTAACTTCATTTTAAACTTGCTTCTCATGTATACAACTTTTCCCTAAACAGACTATGTTCACCATAAGGAAGAACCATATTGTCTATTTACTTAAACCTGATAAGACTTAATAAGGGAGAAATCAATGGATAAACAAAATGTGACTTAAGTGGATAAGTAAAATGTGATTACATACAATGGAATATTATTCGACCTTAAGAAAAAAGAAAATTCTGACACATGCTACAACAAGAATGAATCTTGAAAACCTCATGTAGCCCTGGTCATGTGGCTCAGTTGGTTGGCGGGTCCTCCTGTACACCAGAAAGTTTCAGGTTCGATTCCCACTCAGAGCACATACCTGGGTTGCAGGCTCGATCCCCAGTAGGGGGCATACAGGAGGCAGCCAATCAATGTTTCTATCTCTCTCAAAAAGAAAAGAAAATCAATAAAAATGTATTTAAAAATAAAATTAAAATTTCAAAATTTAATTAAAAAAAAATAAAAACAGGCCTGGCCGGTGTGGTTCAGTGGTTTAGCATCGACCCATGCACCAAGAGGTCGCAGATTCGATTCCCGGTCAGGACACATGCCCAGATTGTGGGCCAAATTCCCAGTGGAGGGGCATGCAGGAGGAGGCCAATCGATGTTCTCTCTCATCAATGCTTCTGTCTCCCTCTCGCTCTCCCTTCCTTTCTCTCTAAAATCAATAAAGGGGAAAAAAAGGAATTTCCTTAAATAAAAAAAAAACAGTAGAATAAATTCCAACCATTCATGAATTTAAGACACATACAACTATTTACTATGTAAAGGACTGCAGCAACAATACCAATAACTGATCAAATATTGTCCTTAATACAGGCTAGGCATAGTTCTAAGCACTTTATATCTAAAAATTCATTTACTTTTATACAATCCTATCAGGTAAAAGCTATTATTCCGACTTTACAGCTAGAAAAACTGAAGCACAGAAAGATTAAATGATTTGCCCATATCATAGGTGTTAAATGATGAGCCAAGATTTGAACCCAGAAAGTCTGACTCTAGACTCTACTCCTGACCACACATGATAATGACAGTCAACACACAGCACAGAATATAGAAATCACCTTCCTGACCAAAGCTAAATATGTTACATGCTTTTAAGATGTTTAATATACCTTTAACCATTTGCTCCAGATTTTCCAAATAAAATTTATATTGGCTAACAAGACCTTCTTCAAATTCTCTTAACTTTTGGGTTTCTTTACGGATCTGAAAAGACCAAAAGATCAATCACTTTTTAACATCAAAATATTGAAATCTGACAATTAGCACAAAATGTTGATGCCTATTATATACCCAGTCATGTAAAAACAATCAAACATACACACACACAAAAACCCTGTTTCTCCCACCTCTAGCTCCCCAAAATGTCCAGCTAATTCTGCATGGTATACCTTGGTGGATTTTTCTGCTTCTGTTAGGGGCCGGATTTTATATGAAGGAGTAATGTCTTTAAATAACTCCATCAAAGAAATGATCACCAGCTTTCGAACAGTAACAGCCACATCAGGATCCTGTTCCATCAGCATGGAACGTAATTCTTTCAGTTTTTTAACCTGTTAAAGAAATAACTTATCAGGCTAGAGAGATGACGGCACAACATTCATGAGCAAAAGCAATGTCCCACATCTGGCCCAGTAAGAATTCACACAATGACTCAGTCTAGTCAAGCCATACACAACTCCAGACACTGCTCCTGTTACCTACAGGTAAGTCACTGAAGTCATAAATTAATCATGTTTTTGTTAAATACTTAGAGAAAAGACTTAAATAATTTAAATTTGTTAATTTATCTAATTTTAGAAAATATTTTTGATTGGCTTTTCTTTTTCTTTTTTTATCCTCACTAGAGGACTTTTTTCCATTCTTTATTCAGACAGAACGGGAGGAAGAGAGAGGGGGAGAGAGAGAGAGAGAGAGAAACATCAACGTGAGAGGGACACATCGAGTGGCTGCCACCCGCACGACCAACCAGGGCCGGGGAAAAACTGCAACTGAGGTACATGCCCTTAACGGGAACCGAACGCGGGCCTCTCTGGACCGCAGGTCGGCACTCTAACCGCTGAGCCAAACCAGCCAGGGCTGATTGGCTTTTCTTAATGCGTGTGTCCTATGTCCCTAAAATATTGTTATACATAAACCAATCATATTAATCACATCTCTACAAGTTAATCAGGAATTAATATAATGTATCCACATTAACTTAAGCTTCAAATCACTCATATAACGAGTGTTTGTATGATGTAACGCAGAAATGAAAAACTGGTTCCAACTAATGTGCTTGCTTTCATGAGCTACTATTGCCTGCTGGAGTGGTATCTTGAGAAGCAACCGTCTGGCTGATTAGCAATGTTCACCACAGCAGGGAGTAGGACAACTACGTCCCCTCCTATTTGCACTCTCTAACTTTTATGGAATGAGCACGAGGCTCCAGGGTTAGAAGATCTGGGTTCCAATCCAGTGGCTGTTAAAATCTGGAACAAATCACTTGAGTTTTTAAAGGCTCTATTTCTCAGCTGTAAAATGAGATTAATAGCTTTTGTCTCTATGGTTTCACAATGACTAAATGAGATAAAACAGATAAGAAATATTCCAAATTTCCCTCCCTGATTCTGCTCCCTTCACTTTGTTAGAAAAGGACAAGCACTGCTCCAAAGCACACCCACAGGAAATTTTTTCTTTAAATGTAAATAATCTATTTTATTGTTCAGTAAACAAATATTTGTCATACTAGGATACCAATATAACAAAAATAATAGTATCACTTTGTATAACTTCACATATATCATTTAATCCTCACAACAAAGTTTTAATATAGGTCCCATCCTCCTTTTAGAAATAAAGAAAGTAAGTCTTGGATAAAAAACTTACCCCAAGTCTAACAGATAGTACTCAGCAGAGCTGAGACTAAACCTTGGGTTTCTTGAGTTGACATGTTATAACTATCATCACCTTCACTACTGTACCCATGGCCCAGTGATAATATCACTTTCTATTTCACTGAAATATTTTACATTTACAAGTATTCCTCAACTACTCTGTCTTTTGCGTGCATGTTCCTTACTAAAAACCCTACAGTCAGTCAAGCAAATTCGCAAGTAGGTTCCTCACCCCTAGCTTAATTTTTATAGACGTACCACTATGAGTAACGTTAGTCCAGTGTCTTCATTTAGAGACTCAGAGCATTTAAGAGACTTTTCTAAAATTACAGAAGATATTAAGTTCAGACGTAGAATTAGGCCAAAATTCTGTCTACTCTCTTATTCTAACTCAGTTACTATGTTTTGCTAATGCTTTTCCTTTTTGTGTGTACTTATAGATAACAAGAGAATCTTAAAACATTAGATGTTTAGACCATATCTAATATGAAGAACCTAAAGAAATTAATACTGCTTACATTACTTTCTGGATCTGATAATATGGCAGATGCCAAGGCTGCAATATGCAATTTCTTCTCCTGTAGTTTCTTCTTTCTCTCAATTAAATGTTCTTCTATGGTCAGCTCTCGAATAGGATCTTCAATGATCTCTGAAACAGATTAGGTTTTCCCTCTTAAATATTCCTTTATTTACAAGTGTCCAAGACACTTATTTCATATCATCCTCTCAATAATCATGACACAGGTACTATCAACACCCCCATTTTATAGATCAGGAAACTGAGGCAAAGGAAAAATAACTTGCTTATCCCCATAAACCTGGCAGAAATGAATTCAAATCCACACAGTATGACTCTAGAACTCATATTCTTAACTATGCTAATAAACCTATAAGAATTAATATTAATTAAGGGGAAGGACAATCTGATTCAGTGGTTTTAAAAAGCACAGAATAGCCCAGCCTGTGCGGCTCAGTGGACTGAGAGTCATCCCATGGACTGAGAAGTCCTGGTTTGATTCCCGGTCAGGGCACACGCCTATATTGTGGGCTCCATCCCCAGTATGGGGCATGTAGGAGGCAGCTGATGGATGTTTATATCTCTCCCTTCCTCTCTCTCTAATAAATCAATTAAAAATAAAATAAAATAAAAAGTACAAAACATTCTGTTTTCAACTCTATATAGTCCTTTGAACTGTACAAAATGTTCATAATAAGAAATTCAGCCCTGGCCAGTTTGGCTCAGCGGTTAGAGAGTCAGCCCGCGGACCAGAGAGGCCCGGGTTTGGTTCCCACTAAGGGCAAGTACCTCGGTTGCAGTTTGTCCCTGGCCCTGGTTAGGGTCGTGGGGGTGGCGACCAATCGATGTGTATCTCTCACATTGATGTTTCTCTCTCTCTCTTCCTCCCTCCCTTCCTTCCACTCTATCTGAAGATAAATGCAAAAATGTCCTCAGGTGAAGATTAAAAAAAAACACAAGAAATTCATAGGGAACTACACCGGCCATTATGGCTCAGTGGTTGAGCATTGACCCATGGACCAAGAGGTCACTGGTTCAATTCCTGGTCAGGGCACATGCCCAGGTTGTGGGCCAAATCCCCAGTGGGAGGCATGCAGGAGACGGCCAATTGATGTCCTCTCTCATCGATGCTTCTGTCTCTCTCTCCTTCTCCCTTCCTCTCTCTATACAATCAATAAAGAAAAAAAAATTAAAAAAAAAAAAAAGAAATTCATAGGGAACTAGATTTAATAAACACTCAAGCATAACTGCAACAAGCCTATGAAGGATGACTGAAAACAGTAAAATAGTTGACCTGTAATCTCATTTACACTATTAATGAGGTTTGTTAAGCAGAAGTAAAATTTAACCAGCTTGTTCTATCATGAATTCCAAACCAATATAGTTGCAAACAATAAAATATGTTCTTTCAATTCAACTTTGGTTAGAACTCTGCTATTAGAAACTCCTATTTAATGATCTAAAATAGATATACACAAAATATAATTGCTCTAAAGAACCAAAATGATTCCTACCACAGAATCACTTTTGTAATTTAAAGCTAAGCAATTAATAGTTAGTTGTAAGCAGGTCCTTCACTTACAATTTAAAAGAATTTAAAACAGTTCAATAATAAGATTCTTCATGCGTGCCTACACATTATAAATATTAATTGCATAAATTTTTCCATTCTAAAAAGCAACAATCAAACTCCACATGATGAAGCTTCAAAATGTGGGGAAATGTTCAAAACGACCTTGAAATGACCAGGTGCACATTTCAGATTTTATCTAAAACACACTCATTCATATTATGCAAAAAATGTAATTCTCCATTAATTATTTAGTAACTATGAAGATGTAGCCCATTACCTTCCTCAAGTTCCATCTCTTCTTGATCCTCTTCATCTTGGTTAGTGTCAGCAACTAGGGAAATAGGTATATAAAATGTGATAATATACTTAGGTGGTAAAACCACACCAAAAAAAGCACAGAAGTGACTAACATAAAACTCAGGAAACTAGTTACTTTTGCGAGGAGGGAGCAATTAGTGATTGAGAGGAAGGGAAGTTTCTGGGTGTTGGCAGACATTTGTTTCTTGCCCAGATGGTAGCTTTATGGGTGTGTTTTTTTGTGATAAACCACGTAACTTCACATCTTTGATTTCTGGACTTTTCTGTGTGTTTTATCTCACAATTAAAAATATACATATAAGGAAAAAGACTAGTAAAGGATGACTAATATGCTCTAATTTTAGAGACAACAGAATTTGGTGAAACACTCTAAAAAGAAAATCACCTTAACCTGTAGCTTCAGTTGTACTCACAGTACAACAGAGACCTAAGATAATCAACTCTATTTCTGGCCAAAATCATCAAGCTTGCTATATGGCTAACTGTAGCTACCTCTATCTTATAAATATGGGTAAAAGTCAAAATAAAATTAAATTTTTACTGAAATATGTGATATTATTATTATTATTATTTTTTTACCCTCACTTGAGGACATTTTTCCATTTTTTGTTCAGATAGAGTGGGAGGGAGAGAGAGGAAGAGAGAGAGAGAAACATCGACGTGAAAGGGACACATCAAGTGGCTGCCACCCGCACAACCCAACCAGGGCCGGGGACAAACTGCCCCTAGCGGTAACCGAGCCAAGGTCTCTCTGGACCGCAGGCCAACGCTCTAACCGCTGAGCCAAACTGGCCAGGGCTGAAATATGTGATATCATTAAAGAGCTAAAACAGTAACTAATGCACAGACTGATCAGATTCACCTGGCTTCTCCCTGGTCTGTGGGATTATACCACTTTTATCTTTGATAGGAAGCAAGTGAATCAATTCCTTCTCTGGTGCAGTTTGTAGAGATCTTGGTATTTTTTCATATTTATCTATAACGTGCTCATGCTTTCGTTTCTTGTTGTGAACAGGCTCACTGTAGAAAAAGATTTTAATTTTCAGTTTTAATATTTTAAAAAGGAACCCAGAGACCTACCATTTTTAGAGCCCAGAAAAATAAATTACTAGCCAAACCTTCAACGGGTATATAGATATTAGCACCTAAACCAGGCACACAGCAAGCACTCAAATAGTAAATGAATAAATTAATTTTGTAGTCTACCACAAAGACTCAGACTATGGCTGTATCTAGTATTCCCTTTAGATGCAAAATAAAGGTGAAAGTTAGAGCAGATTCTTTTGAAAAATATGCTACAGAGAGAAGGAAGACATCATGCTATTTTGCGTTTCCAAAAACCTTCAGAGCATAGCATGGACTTGGGAGTTAAAAAGATCTAAGTTTAAATTTTAGATTTGCTACTTGTGATTGTGGGGAAGCATCAGCATCCTCTCTGTAAATGAGAATAATACCTACCTAATAGAGTAACAAGGACTGAGATCATGGCCACAAAGAACTCAGGACTGTTCTGCCAATTCCTCAAACAAAGAACGGCTTTCTTCCCCATTCACACTACTTCACTATTCAAACTCAAAATGAAATAAGGATGTACACTAAATAAAATCAGCTTGTTTTATTCATAAACTTCTTTTATTTAGGAAATAAACTAAATAATAGAGTTTACTCTTTGTAAACACTGTGTTCAGAGCTGAAGTTTTGCACAAACCACCTAAGTAAAATTCAGTACCAAGTTTTTAACACTGAAAGGATGTGAATGATTACAATCTAAATGAAGTATTACCTAGAAGAAAGATCTCTCGTTAGAAAAGACGCTCTTTGTCCTAAATCTTTCATTAACTGTAAGTCATCTTCATCCATCATATCTAAAGGAAGGGCTTCCTCTTCTTCCTCCTCTTCCCTCTCAATCCTTTTACCTGTTACACACATACACACACAAAATCAGAAATATGTATTAGAGATTTAGAACTCTGCATTTTTGTGTCTACAACAGGAAAAGTGTATGCTCTTCTAACACCTCAGCCTGGAGTTTCTACATGGGAGCACTACTCACATGTTGGGCCAGACAATTCTTGTTGTACTGAGGTGTTCTGAGCTAGGCAAAATGCTAGCATCTCTGACTCCTGAAACCTAAATGCCAGGATCATTCCCAGGTCACTCTAACTATCAAAAAATACATGTCTGCACACTTTCTACGTCTTTCAGCACATCTGAGAACCAATGACTCTGCCCCCTAGTTCTGTCTGATCGCCAATGACTTTCACTTCCATTCCATTTCAGCTGCCCCCTCCAAAGGCCACATCCCAAACCTAAGTGCTCACCCCATATTCTCTGACCACAACCCTTTGTCCTTCCTGCTACTTCTACTGCACTTCTTTGAACAAATATATAGACCTTCAATCCTTTGACCAGTCTCCTTTTTTTCTATCTACCAATGTGTTCTTATCTCCACATGAGACATGTAGTGACAGCCTATAATTTCAAGTGGGTAAAAGCTTCAATACACACTACTCTTCCCCTTGTTTTTTACAATTAATTTATTTTGTAGATTCATGTTAGAACATAACGTTTCCTTCTTTCTTGAAACACTTTTATTTGATTTCTAAGACACTGTACAATTCTGGTGTTCTCCCTAAGTCTCTGGCTCCTCCTCAAAACCCATTATAGGTTTTTCTTCCCCCTTTCGTTTCTAAAGTGCTAAGATTCCTTAAAATTCTGTTCTAGGTTCTCTTATTCTCATACTATACAGGCTTCATGGTGATTTTACCCAAGTCTGAGGCTTCAATTATCATCTATATGCTGATAATTCCCCTAAACTATTCTCTCTAACCCAGGTCTTTCCACTGAACCCTATTCTCTTTTTTTTTCTAAATTTTATTGGGGTGACATTGATTAACAAAACCTACAGGTTTCAAGTGTACAGCTCAACAAAACATCATCTGCACACTGTCATGCACCTGTCACCCCAAGCAAAGTCTCTTTCAGCTTCCATTTATCTCCCATCCACTTTTGTCCTTCACCTCCTCCCTACTCCCCTTTCCTTTTGGCTATCACCATAGTGTTATCTAGATCTATGCGTTTTTTTGTTTTTTGCTTAATAACTTTACCATTTTTCACCCAGCCCCCCAACTCCTCCCCTAACAGTTATTAGTCTGTTCTACATATCAATGCTTCTGTTTCTATGTTGTTTATTAAATTATTTTTAAATCTTATATTTCTATCCAACTGCCTGATAGACTTCAACATGTAAGAATGAAGAAATATTTTGCTTATTTTTAATACAGAATTATTTTAACACATCATGGTTTTTCAATTCTACTGAAATTTAGATGGAAGAGATCTTTAAAAGTATCTAACTCAACAATCACATATTCTTACAGATTAAATACCTAGAGATTTAAGTGACTAAGGCCACATTGCTATTAAGTAACAAAATCAAGAAAAAAGCTCAAGTTTCCTGACTTCCAGGCCCATAGTCTTTTACATATCATAATAATATGTTGTCAAGAGATCAAACTAAAATAGGTCAGGATTAAGAAAATGAGATGCACATGGGAAGACTGAATATTCAGATACAGTCAAATATAACTACCCTGCAAGTATCAGTAACACTGTAGAAGAACTGGTCTAACTCAAAATGGTGACTCATATTTCCTACCTGTTTTGAGTATTTGGAGTTCTTGGATAGTTTTACAAAATAACCCTGACAGTCACAGCTCAATTTTACTCCAAGTTTCCAAGTGAAAAGAAAGCCAGACGTTGAGAATACTAAATGGATTCTGGCAACACTGTGAAGAATGCACGGAAGAAAAGCACTGTTCTCCCCTTAGCCAGCGGCCAGTGAATGGGAAAGTGGCATGGCATGATGTCCGGCATTTATTTACAGGGTGATTCTGAATCTGTTATCTCAAATTTTTGTATCTTCAGATCTGTTTCCTAGACATACTAAAAGCAGAGGCTAGCTCTTCCTCACAATGAATATGGTATTAAAATGTTTTTTTATACTGACTATGGTAAAGCATATAGGACTACTATGCTTACTTACTCTTAGGAAGATGTGTGACTAAGACTAGTGAGTAGTAGAAAGCAGTTATTTCATGAAAAACACTTGAGAACAAATCAATGGAAATTAGAACACATGAACACTTTCACAATTACCTGGTCGTTTTTTCTTTGGCTCCTCCAGTGTAATGGGTTTCTTAGACACAGCATCTTTTACAGCTTGCCTTAGTTTCCTCTGTTCTTTTCGGTACTTCTTAAGATTGCTTTGTTGTTTAAATTGCTTGTTTTTCAGCTTGTTCTCAAGTTTGACTTTACTAGTTTTTAGCAACTTCCTAAAGCTCGGGACCTGTTTTTTATTTCTTCTCTGGAAAACGACAACAGGAGGAATGCTGCATACTCAGAAATGTATATTATTTTCAAAATCAGATTAAAGAGAATTTATTATAAATTCTCTTAAACCAATTCTGCAATTCTAATGTCTCACAGCCAGGGATCTTGCATAGAAGACCTACAACCAAACTATGGCATTAATCCTACAGAATGGCACTAGAGCCATCAGTTATTTAACCACCGTCTTACTGTGACCAAAATCCACAGCGGCTCAAAAGGGTCTAAGACCCCACAAAAGGTTAAGAACCACTGATCTAGTGGTAAATGGTTATTCAAGGCTACCTTAACTAGTTTAGCATACTCAAAGCAAAATGCTGGCTGTCTTTAATAATAACTGACATTTATATATTATTATACTGTTTATAAAGTTCAACATATTATCTCCAACAGCCTAGTTAAGAAATGATTGCCGTTATTCCATTATCCTCACATTACTGAGGAAGCAAGGTTTAAAGATTATGTGACTTAATTAAAACAACTATGAGGTATCACCACCAACAAATCATCAAACAAGTGTTGGCAAGGGTGTGGAGAAAAGGAGACTCTAGTACCCTGCTGGTGGGAATGCAGACTGGTGCAGCCACTGTGGAAAACACTATGGTGTTACCTTAAAAAGTAAAAAACTGAACTGCCATTTGACCCAGTGATCCCACTTCTAGGAATATACCCCAAGCCTGAAACACCAATCAGAAAGAATATATGGGACTTCCGGTCAAGATGGCGGTTTAGGTAAACACCAGATCGCGTCCTCTCACAACCACATCAAAGTTACAACTAAACTACAGAACAACCATCATCCAAAACTGCCTGAAGTCAAGCTGAATGGAAGTCCTACAACTACAGAATTAAAGAAGCAGCCACATCGAGACTGGTAGGAGGGGCAGAGGCAGACGGGCTGGTCCCACACCCACGTGTGGCGGATAAAAATCAGGAGGACACCTCGGCTGGGAAGGTCCTCCCTGAGGACTGAGGGGTCCCCGTCCCACACCAGGTGCCCCGTTCAGGGTTCCAGTGCCAGGAAGAGAAGTCCCCATGACTTCTGGCTGGAAAAACTAGCGGGAACTGAGGCTCAGGGAGGCTGAGGCAGCTGGAGCCCCAGGCAGCTCCTCTTAAAGGGCCCGCGCACGGGAACTCACTCCCTCTAAGCTTGTAGGGGAAGCAGCTTGAGGGGCACCAGAGACATAAAGGGAAGAACTGGGCTGTTTGGCATTGAAGCAAGGGCTGCAGAGGGGGCTTTCTACGAGACGGACGTGCTGTCAGAGGCCTTTGTTCCTTTGGTGAGCCTTTCCCTGGGGTGGCAGAGAGCCGCCATATCTGGGACTCCAACAACCTGGCTCACACTGGTGGTCCCACCATGGTGATTCCCTGAGGCCCCGCCCCACCCAACTTTCAGGCCCACCCAAGCTGTTGCCAGTTGCTTTACCATAGGATTAGTATCTGTCTTGAATCCTGCTTCAGTTTTTCCTAAATTCTTTCAAACAAGGAGCATCTGGTCTCAGCTAGCCATATACCTCTCGTTAGTTAAGTAATACATAGAAACAAACACAGGGAGGCAGCCAAAATGAAGAGACAAAGAAACAGGATCCAAATAAAAGAACAGAACAAAACTCCAGGAAAAGAACTAAGCGAAATGGAGATAAACAACCTAACAGATGCTGAGTTCAAAATACTGCTTATAAGGATGCTCAATGAACTTAGTGAGACCCTCAGCAAACTTAGCGAGGGCCTCAAGAGCATAAAAAAGAACCAGCCCTGGCCAATTTGGCTCAGCGGTTAGAGCGTCAGCCTGCGGTCCAGAGAGACCCAGGTTCGGTTCCCGCTAAGGGCGTGTACCTCGGTTGCAGTTTGTCCCCGGTCCTGGTTGGGTCGTGCGGGTGGCAACCACTAGATGTGTCCCTTTCATGTCGATGTTCTTCTCTCTCTCGTTCTCTCTCTCTTCCTCTCTCTCCCTCCCACTCTATCTGAACAAAAAACAAAAAAATGTCCTCGAGTGAGGATAAAAAAAAGGAGTAGTCAGAAATGAAGGAGGCACTAACTGAAATAAAGAATAATTTACAAAGATTCAATAGTAGAGTATGTAAAGCCAAGAAGCAAACCATCGATTTGGAATATAAGGAAGCAAAAAGCACCTAATCAGAAGAGCAAAAAGAAAAAAGAATCCAAAAAATGGGGATAGTGTAAGGAGCCTCTGGGACAACTTCAAGCATGCCAACGTTTGCATCTTGGGGATGCCAGAAGGAGAAGAGAGAGAACAAGAAATCGAAAACCTGTTTGAAACAATAATGGCAAAAAACTTTCCTAACTTGGTGAAGGAAACAGACATACAAACCCAGTAAGCACAGAGACTCCCAAACAAGATGAACCCCAAGAGGCCCACACCAAAGACACATCATCATCAAGATGCAAAAGGTTCAAGACAAAGAGAGAATCTTAAAAGCAGCAAGAGAAAAGCAGTTACCTACAAGGGAGTCCCCATAAGACTGTCAGCTGATTTCTCAAAAGAAACTTGGAAGGCCAGAAGGGAGTGGCAAGAAATACTCAGAGTGATAAAAAGCAAGAACTACAACCAAGATTACTCTATCCTGCAGAGCTGTTATTTAGAATCAGTGGACATATAAAGAGTTTCCCAGCCCTGGCCGGTTTGGCTCAGCGGTTAGAGCGTCGGCCTGCGGTCTGGAGAGACCCGGGTTCGGTTCCCGCTAAGGGCACGTACTTCGGTTGCAGTTTGTCCCCGGCCCTGGTTGGTCGTGCGGGTGGCAGCCACTCGATGTGTCCCTTCACGTCGATGTTTCTCTCTCTCTCTCCCTCCCACTCTATCTGTACAAAAAATGGAAAAATATCCTCGGGTGAGGATTAAAAAAAAAAAAAAAAAAAAGAGTTTCCCAGACAAGGGAAAGCTAAAGGAGTTCAGCACCACCAAACCATTATTATATGAAATGTTGAAGGGTGTTCTTGAAGAAAAAGATAAAAAATATAAACAAACAAAATGGCAATGAATACATATCTATCAACAACTGAATCTACAAACAAAATGAACAAGCGGAACAGAAACATTCTCATAGATACAGAGAACATTTTGTTGGTTGCCAGATGGGAGGGGGGTCGTGGGAATGGGTGAAAGAGGTGAAGGGATTAAGAAGTACAAATTGGTAGCTAGACTGAGAAACCTCAAAGGGAAGGAGGTTTGGGGGGGGGGGTGGGAAGAAATAAACCAAAAAACTTTTATGCATATATGCATAACCAATGGACACAGACAACAGTGTCAGGAAAGGCAGGAGGGGGGTGGGAGAGAGGAGGAGGGCGTCAATGGGGGGAAAATGAGGAACATCTGTAATACATTCAACAATAAAGATAAGTTTAAAACAGAAAAAAAAGAATATATGTACCTCTATGTTAATAGCAGCACTATTTACAATAGTTAAGATCTGGAAACAACCCAAGTGTCCATCCAGTAGATGAGTGCATTAAAAAGCTGTGGTACATGTACACAATGGAATACTATGCAGCTGTAAGAAAGAAAGATCTCTTATCCTTTGAGATGGCATGGAAGGACCTGGAGAGTATTATGCTAAATGAAATAATCCAAGCAGAGAAAGACAAATATCACATGATCTCACTTATTTGTGGAATATAATGAACTAAACAAACTGCTGAACAAAATTAACCCAGAGACATAGAGGTGGGGTACAGGCTGACAAGCCTCAGAGGAGGGGAGGTTTGTGGGGGAAGAGATAAACCACAGAACTTACATGCATGTGTGCATGACCAATGAACATAGACAGCAAAGCTGGGGATGGGGAGAGGGGAAGAGGGTGTCAATGGGGGAAAAATGAGAAACATTTGTAACAAAAACAAATTAATAAATTAAAAATTTTTTAAAAAGATTATGTGACTTGTCAAGGACCCTGAAACTAAGGAAGGCAACACTGAATTCGGGTCTTTGGATTCCAACTCTCTTGCTGGTGACCCCTTATTCAGAATACAAATCCTAGGGCTAGCTCTAATTTTCTGCGAGAACCAGAGCAAATAACTTGCTTTCCTGTCTTCTTACCCCTTTGGAGAGCAAGACGGGGGTAGGGCTCATTTCGAATCCCATAACTCACACTATAAATTCACTGAGAACAGGGCCCTGCTTTTCATTCGTTAAAATAAGGGGTACGAAAGATAGTCTTAAAGAACTCTTCAATGTCTGACGCCCTAGGGATGCAAGACTTGGTGTTCGTCTCAACGTGGCCCCTGAAGACGATCGCGAGCACAATGGGCAATGAAGGAAGAGGCAGGTGTAATGGGCAGAATGTGGACAGCACCTAGAACCAAGAGGGGGCCCCTAATCTAGGCCACCGCCCCCTAAACAAGGATTAAAAAAACACCAGAAAGCTACACTGGGCAGCGACTCTCAGCAAAAGGGGACCTAAACCGCGGGGACCGGGCTTCTGAAGACCCTTACCGCCTTCATCCTTAAATCTGAAGGAAGTTCCGGCAAGAAGAATTCACCAGGGGTAGGGATAATCCAGAAATCCCGATGGGCAGACACATGTGCCCCACATGCGCCACTGCAAAACGGAAACAGACGCTAGCACCTCCTCTTTCTCCGCCGCCGGAAATGGAGGCGGGACTTCCTCTGGCTGGTTCGGGAGCGCTCCCTCTTGTGGTGACGGGGGCCGGCGTCGCCTCGGCGCGCGCATGCGCTCTCACTGAGCCCAGAACACCGTGGGCCAAAGGCCAGCGGTGGTTTTTTTATCGGGTCCCTGAATCTGACTCTTTCCGGATTCCCTTGAAATTTTGGGAAATCGGGCTCCTCCTCGGGCTCCACTACGAAAGGACTCGGTTTTTTTCATTCGTCTTACTGCATTTTGTGCCTCTTCTCACGTAGGTATCTCATCGTTCTGTTATAGATACTGATTTTTGTGGCCTGTTTCCTCCCGTTAAGTCTTGAGGGTCGAGTAAAGCGTATTCCTTTTGCGTGATGCCCGCCCTTTCCTGACCCTCGCCCGGCTCTCTGGGCCTGTTTGTGAATGCCGGATTTCCCAGGGCCTCCCGGCGCTCGCAAGTGTGTGATTCTTTGATTTTTTTCATTGATTTTGAACACTTTTGCCTTAATAACCGTTGCCTGATTGTTATATCGGTGAGATTCGTCTGCGTTTCAATAGTTTGTAACTACATTATCTTTGTCTGAATTGTACTGACTGTGTAGTAATTTCGCCAAAATTTTAACAGGTAAATTTCTGCAAGAATAAGAACATGTTTTTCAAAATGATCTGACTCTAAAAGACTTTTTTTTCCACTAATAAATTTAAGAATTCCACTTAAGTTTTTTGTTTGTTTGTTTGTTTGTTTGTTTTAAGCCTATGATTCGTGAGCGCATTACTGACACTGAGTATGGCCTGGCAGTCCTGAGCCAAATGGGAAAAGTCAGCGGAGGCTCAAAAGATTCTGAGCTTCCTGTGGGTGTTGGTCTTAAAGAGACCAACAAGAAACCTCCCAATTTCTGGATCCCACTTCTACAATCAAGAATCCCATTCTTTCTGGAATTCTTTCCATCCCTTGCAACTTCCCTAATTTCCCTGTTGCTCTCTCTCCTAACGCACACACTTGCAGAAACAGCAGAGCCAGTCCCACCGGAGTATTACTTCATCAAGCAAATTTAAAACGTTTGCCTGTGGTCTTCCCAAGTGTCTGAGTTCATTCCCAAACAACTTAATCAGTGATTACTCCCATCCTTTTTCAGCCTTCCCTCCAGTCTCCAACGGTGAGGCACTGGCATTTCAGTTCAAAACCAGCTTCCAGCTTCATCAGACTCCTTTATCACGAATTATCCCTTCTTTCTTGTGTTCTTTCCCTCCCCAGTGGATCCTTCCCCTTGGCCTGTAAACATAGTCAAACCTCTTCCATCCTTAAATTATTTTTCTAATGACCCTATCTCCTTTTAATTGTTTCATTTTCTTCCTCCCCTACTTGTCCTTACTTCCAAAAAAAAAAAAATTGTATTCTCCTGGTGTCTCCCCTTCCTCTTTTCTATTATCACAGTCCAAGCCTGTCCTCGTTTTGGGGGAAATTAAGTCATACTCTTGGCCCATTTTAAGTTTATATAATCAACTAAAATCTTTGGATCGTTTTAAAGCAATTGTTGCCAAGCTAAATCTCTCCCATCTTGAATTTGAGCAATCTATTATTTAAACAAAAATTTTAAAATGGAAGTTTACTAACTTAATCTTACTGGCTTTTCAGCTTTGTGTCATTTCCTATTCACTCAATCCACTGCTAAGCTAATTTTGGGCTATACATCCTCTCAGATTCTCCAGAGCTCTCCTTGACACTTGGGCTGATGGATCACTGGGCTACCCTGAAATAGTTTCACAAGGATTGTACCCAGAGATTCCTAAGAGCCCTTTTCTTTTGAGAGGTCTGTTAACCTATCTGGCTTTGCTGATAACATCCCACTGAAACTGCTGTCATTGAGAGCAGTTCTTCACCAAGAGGTTCTTCATCAAGACCTTTAGGTTGTGATTTTTTTTCTTTTCCAAGTGTGCACTGAATTCATTTCTTTATTTTATTTTTTCAGATAAAGCGAGAGGGAGAAAGAGAGAGAGAGAGTAATATCGATGTGAGAGAGACACATCAAGTGGTTGCCACCCCCACAACCCCACCGGGGCCGGGGACAAACTGCAAGTGAGGTACGTGCCCTTAGCGGGAACCGAGTCTCTCTAGTCCGCAGGCCAGCACTCCAACTGCTGAGACAAACTGGCCAGGGCTCTTTTTCTTATTTTTTTAAAACACGTTTTTATTGATTTTTTAGGGAGAGAAGGAGAGAAATGATGTGATAGAGAGAAACATCGATTGACTGCCTCCTGCACGCCTGCAGCCCGGACATGTGCCCTGACAGGGAATGAAACCAGGACCTCTCAGTCTATGGGACCACGCTCAATCCACTGAGCCACTCCAGCTGGGCCTATTTTTTTCTTTTTTAATCTCACTAGAGCTCTCCTCTCCATTTCTCCTTTCTCACATTAGAATTTTGACTCCTTTGGCTCCCCTATCAGTCTCTTCCCCAGGTTCTCCTACCTTTATTCCTTCTTCCTCTGGCCTCTTCAATGTTTATTGACTCTCAGGGTTCTACTCTTGACCCACTTTGCTACTTTTCTTGTTCTACTTGCTCTTCCAGCGTGATCTCATCCATCTACCTATTGCAGAGATTGTCAAACGTTTTGTGCAGTTCGTATCTCTCCCCCAAGCTTCAGTCTTCGAGGTTCAGTCTTGTAGCCACCTGCCTCCTAGATATCTCCACAAGGTAACCACAGAACTTCAATTTATCATGTTTAAAACCAAACTCCAAACTATTTTTTTTCACTTGTGCCTCTTCCAACATTCCCTATTTCATTCATTTACCCACCACTAAAATCCCAATATTCCAGAGATCTTTGGAAATGAGCCAGGGATTTCTTGGCCACTCACATTTTACAATTCTTTCATTTTCTATAAACAAACTGGTTTGAAACTGTCTCTAAGTGGACATGGTACAATACGGCTGTGAATTTTCCAACCCCACAAGATAATTTATATAAGTTATAACAAAGGACCTTGAAGAAACTGAAAGTGCATAATAGGCTTGAAGTAGATGCTTTATATTTCCTGATGAAAAATTACTAAATGGTGCCAGACTATAAATGTAAATTGCCAAAATCACAATGTTAAGAATTTGAAAATATATATGTCATGGTCTTCACCTTTGACATTGTTAAAATATAATTAAGAAAAATCTGCAGTTGAGAAAGATAATTATGCATGACCAAATAGAGATTAATAAAAGATATTGCACCTGGCTGGTGTAGCTCAGTGGTAGAGTGTCAACCCATGCACGGAGAGATCACCAGTTTGATTCCTAGTCAGGCAGGGCACACGCCCAGGTTGCAGGCTCGATCCCTGGCCCTGGTCAGGGCTTATGTGGGAGGCAGCCAATCAATGTGTCTCGAATCTGTGTGTTTCTATCTGTCTCCCTTTCCTTCCACTCTCTCTAAAAATATCTTTGGGTAAGGATTAGCAACAACAACAAAAAGATAAAGTGGGAGCCAGGAGGAGGGTGCCAATAGGGGAAAAAAGAGGAAATCTATAATACAACAATAAAGATAAAATAGCATAAAAAAAAAAAAGATAAAAGGTGTTTTGGAGGAAATGACAGCAATGTATGCTTAGATACACTCCTGTAGAAAGGATCAAGTTCAAATAGGTGGGATAATCTTTTCTAAGCAAAGTCACACAGATAGTGAAAATAATTTCCATCAGGGAATTAGATTAAAATAGCTAGTAACAATAATTATAACTAATGATAAATTGTTAAATTAAAATTAATTGTTATAAAAAAACAACAGCCCTAGCCGGTTTGGCTTAGCACTTAGAGCATCAGCCCATAGACCAAAAGGTCTCGGGTTCGATTCTGGTCAAGGGCACGTACCTGCGTTGCAGGTTTGATCCCTGGCCCTGGTAGGGGTCATGCAGGAGGCAGCCAATGGATGTGTCTCTCTCACATCAATGTTTCTCTCTCTCTCTCCCCCTTCGTCCCTCCCTCCCTCCCTTCCACTCTCTCTAAAAATCAATGGAAAAATATCCTCAAGTGAAGATTAACCAAAAAAAATTAAATATGGCAGATGTTATTGGTGTCCCATCGACATCCTGTAGGAACTTTCCATTCCATACATGCCCAAAAAAGTCCTCTGTGAGAGCTTGCACCTTTCAACTTGAGGACTTTTTCTCGTTTTCTTGACCCCTGCAGGGCAGGCCAGAGTGCCAAGAAATTTTCCCCTTCAACCAATGACAAATGTAGGTAGAAGGATAAATATACCAATTATGGTAGACTGAAAAATGCCCTCCAAAGGAGTCAGATCCTAATCCCTGAAGCCTGTGAATATTACCAAAGGTGTAACTAAGGATCTTGAGATGGGGAATTATCCTGGGGCAATGTGACCACAGAAGCAGGGATTGTCATGATTGAGTCAGAAATCAAAAAATGCCAGTAACTTGCTCTGGCTGGTTTGGCTCAGCAGTTGGAATGGCCCCAGGAACCAAAGAGTCGCAGGTTCTATTCTGGTCAAGGGCACATACTTCTCTTGCGGTTCAGCCCCTGGCCTTGGTCAGGGTTGTGCAGGAGGCAACGAGTCTATGTGTCTTTCTCACATCGTTGTTTCTTTCTTTCTCTCTCTCTCTCTCCCCTTCCCCCCCTTCCCGACCACTCTATCTGAAGATAAATAATAAAAAATATCATTGAGTGAGGATTAAAAAAAAAAAAGGCCCAGTTGGTGTGGCTTACTGATTGAGCATCGACCCACACACCAAGAGGTCACTGATTCAATTTCTGGTCTGGGGACATGCCCAGGTTGTGGGTCCAATCGCCAGTGGGGGACATGCAGGAGGCAACCAGTTGATTTCTCTCTCATTGATGTTTCTATCTCTCCCTCTCCCTTCCTCTCTCTCTAAAATCAATAAAGAAAACATTAAAAAAAAAGAAATGCCAATAACCATCAGAAGGGGGGAAGAGCAGGGGACATATTCTCCTGGA